CAAACGGACCCTACCTCCGATATGATCCTACCTGGTTGTTCCTTACTTGATAGATCATGAAAGTAGACTTTGAGTTAATGATGAATCTAGACTAATAATTAGTCGCAATAAAGATTAGACTAAAACTTAGCGATAATAATGTTAGGTTTCGTCGAAGGAAAATAGAATCGTTAGAAGCGAAGCGCTGCCCGAATTTGGAATCATCACTTTGACAAGTAAGTGCATAGTTACTTTCATCTTACACATAGATATGAAGTATATTATATAAATTACGTGTTACGTGTGCATATTATCTGTATACTTGCTATCTATGTTGGATGAACGATTTTATACATGTTTTAAATGATTTAAACAATATATATATTTTATATCCACGAATATGTTGGATAAAACATGGGTAGATGAATGATGAGAGATGAAAGATGATATGAGTGAACATTGGCAGCTATAGACTTAGTGCCTAATAATTAACATCGGCAGCTATAGACTTAGTGCCTATTGAATAAACGGTGGTAGCTATGGACTTAGTACCTGATATATAAACATTGGTAGCTATGGACTTAGTACCTATTGAATAAACTCTGGTAGTTATGGACTTAGTACCTGATAGATAAACGTTGGTAGCTATGAGCTTAGTACCTATTGAATAAACGCTGGTAGCTATGGACTTAGTACCTGATAGATAAACGTTGGTAGCTATGGTCTTAGTACCTATTAGATAAAGACTGGTAGCTATGGATTTAGTACCTGTTAGAGAAACGTTGGTAGCTATGGACTTAGTACCTGTTAGATAAACGTTGGTAGCTATGGACTCAGTACCTGTTAAATAAACGTTGGTAGCTATGGATTTAGTACCTATTAGTTGAACATTGGTAGCTATGGATTTAGTACCCGATGAATGAACTTTAGCAGCTATGGAATTAGTGCTTTACGAACAAGCATTGACAGCTATGGACTTAGTGCCTATCATATAAACCATGGAAGCAATGGGCTTCGAAATGAACGGATGCAGGATAGATGATTCTTAGGGTAGATCTGTAAGAGTAAAGAAGATAATGGGGATGGGTAATGGGGCTGATTGTTTAATGTTTAAACATAATAATTGTATTATTGTGGGTTGAAAACCCTATGTACTCACCAGGTTTCCCAACCTGACCCACTCAAGCTTATTTGTATCACAGGTGTCGATACGAAACTACTTTACACTGAGAGATTTAAAAGAGATGTAGATCACTAGTGTAAACGAATGTAAGTTTTGTTTATGCTTATGTTTCTGTATTGACGATGACATCCCAAGGTTTTAAAAGGAATAAAAATACATTTCTTCGGAAATGCTTTGATAACACATTTATCATGTTTTACTGAGAACAAATTCCGCAACATTTTTATCAAATGAAGTACTCTGATTTTTATAAAGCATAAACAAAATCGGTCTTTTCTGGCCGTGAAAAATGGGGATGTCACATATATATATATATATATATATAGATATATATATATATATATATATATATATATATATATATATATATATATATAAAGAGAGAGAGAGAGAGAGAGAGAGAGAGAGAGAGCTAGGTTCAAATGTGAATTAACATCTATTGTGAGGACGTATGGACAATGCTATTCGGTGAGAATGACAAAGAAAATATGTTGTTTGATAATATAAATACGTTCAATCTTACATAACTATTGTCATTAACACACATTTTAACTAATTAAATCATCTATAAAGTTATTTCAGAACTTCTATTATTATTCTCATTCTGTCTGAATGTTGTGAGAATGTTTATTGAGTCGTATTTTGTCAGAATGAAAGTGAGTGAAAAACGATGTGTGAGAACAAAAATGAATAAGAATTAGTGAGAATGCATGAAAATGACGATATTTATGTAAGGTTGAATGTATTCGTATTACTAAACAACTTATTCTCTTATTAATTCTCATAGAATAGCATTGTCCACACGTCCGCACAATAATTGTCCAGCCACATTATAACCTAGCCTTATATATATATATATATATATATATATATATATATATATATATATATATATATATATATATATATATGCTCCATTACATAAATGGTTGTGTATATATACATTTATATATATATATATATTAAAGGAATGTTAAAAAAAGGAAATGTTATATGTGTTCGTTAAAATGTTTGCTTTGTGTATGTACATGTTTAAATTGGATTATTTTTTGCATGTATTTTACTACTATGGTTGTAAAGGGTTTGGTTGCTTTCACTTATGTTGGAATTAGTTTTAGTCGAAACACGGTTGTTATGTTGCTCGATTTGGATAGGAAAACTTTTGTAGCTTTAAACTTATGGTTCGTTAAGCTTTACAACCAATAGTTCCCGAACATAAACAATTGGGAATTATAACTAAAACTTGGATAGTAAAACTTTTGTAGCTTTACACTTAATATTCATTAAGCTTTTCAACGAAAAGTTTCCGAACATAAACAATTGGAAACTACTAAATCTTGAGATTGTTGTGGAAGTTTCTCATTTATTAAACTAAGAACAGCAAATTAGTCCCCTGTAATAACCATTAATCCAATATGATCAAAGAAAATGTGTATGGATCTATACGTGTTGACACACCCGTCTGTGGTTGCTAGATACAACCGTCGTTTGAAGAGAAAAAACGGACAGCAATTTCTTGTTTTTATCCTACTCTTTTTATCACGACTTCGATAAAGCGTCGTTAGGACAAAAAACACCAAAGATATTTTTGTGTGCTTCACGGAGCCGGGTTCAATTCATATGGCTTGGTTCACGGAGCCGGGTTCAAGATCCTATATACGAAAATACTAAATACAGACTAAGATAAGTTTGTATGTAGTATAAAGATTCACATTTAGAATGTTAAACAAATTGTTAGTGTTTCATTACATAGAATAAAAACTTAATATTCCACTTCACGAAAATATATTGATTTGTACTTATTCATTATAAGTAAATTAACATGAATACTTGTGTCGGATTACAAGTATGAGTTTCACACAAATCATATCGGTAATATTTTTGGTTATATACGAGTTAGAATAGAACTATGTAGTATAAGGATTTACTCTTAGATCAGGATTAAGTGTAGTGTTCTATATAAATAAAATAAAACTGAAGAGTATACAATACGCAATCATGTTGACTTAAACTTATATTTCATAATTGAATCAACATCCATACTTGTTTCGGATTACAAGTACATTTACACTTACGTCAAGATGACACTTCTCGCTGTTATTTTTACTACTCTGAATTATATAAGTAAAATTTTTATATAATTTGATAATTGTTCACTTTTATATCTTTTCTTGTTTTTTTGTGAACCTAAATGGTTCCTTCACAAGGTCTATGATATACAAAAACAAAAATCTCCAGAATTTAACAAGGAGTTATCCATTATTTTAATTGATGCGCATGTGAATTCCTTTAACTACACTGCTTGTGTAGCAAATAGTGTTTGGTTTCTGGTACTTATCCGTGATACCCAACGAACAACACAATACTTGGGTTCTAGCTGAGGGAGAAAATAAGCGTAAATATTATGGTCAACTAGAAGAGATTATCAAGTTGCATTGTTCTCATAATTAGTCTATTGTACTTTTTCATTGCAAGCGGTTCGATACTGAAGAAGTTTTATTTGATAATAATTTCACAAGAATCAACCCACAACGCGAATTGGTCAACGAATATCAACTCATATTTGCTACATAGGCTAAACAAGTGTTTTACATTCGAGAACCTTCTCGACAATGCTAACAGTGACGAATTATGAGTATTAGGCACGAAGTAATAGAGACGACTTTTTTGCGTCGACATGTTGTCACTAAAGGTATTAGCAGCAATTTCTAGAAGCATTGAGACACCATGTGTCATCGCTAAAGTTATTTTTTTTTTGTGGTCCATGATGCTTTTGGTATAAATTTGACAATAATAAAGATCCTATCCCTATAGTATGTTGTGTTGCATGTCCATTACACCAAGTATTCTAGAAGGGGCTGAAAGGAGAATTCAACTAATAAAGGTCATCTTTGAGTGGAAGGGCATTTTAGCCATTTTACATTATATCGTTTTTTATGACAGAATAATATAAAAGAGTAGTGGGAAAGAGATCGGATAATCTTTTTATGAACTGGGAAACCATTTTGAAGAGTTACACTACAGAAATTCTAGGAAAGCATTTGAGTTTCTTTTTGTTCATGAATACACCGATTATTGAGTGATTGCTTCTGAGTGTATGGCTATAATTCCTGGAAAGTAGCGAGTTGATAGCATGTTGGCAACGATTCACATTTCAGATCATATAGTGTGGTTTCTTCTTAAAGTTAATAATATGAATCACATTAATGAATAAAAAAATGGGGCTAATTAAGTGGGATTAGGTTTACCAAACTCTTTCCTTGTTGGTTAAAGGTAAATTTATGACACGTATTCTGAAGAAATTAAGAAGAAAGAATTAGAAAGTAAATTATAAACAAATATTTTTATCCGCAAGCAGTCATAATTAAATAAGAGAGCCTTTTACAATATCGTGTCTAATTACATGGTCTGAACTCTGAACTCAATACCTTGCACAATAAGACCTTTAAGCGACTGGTTAGGGGGAAAGTTGACTGAAAGTCTTACAAAACTCGAGGGAGTTTGTGTAAGTTGTTCATCTATTTGTACCTCCATCCAACCATCTTTCCTTTGTTGTGGTAGGCCTTTTATTTTGGGTCTATTCAATGGGTTGTGGGTATTTTCATAAGCCCTTCGTCTGATGACTGGGGTTTGAGGACTAATCAAATAGATATATCGTGAGATTATTAATGTATCAGAGAAATGACTAGTCATCGTCACCTTTAAAGGACGCTCAAATCCAGAATGGTTTTCTTGTAATTTGTAAACAAGGTAAGCTCCATAACATGTTTGAGCTGATAGCATATTGGACGTAGTGCAGCGTATAGTAAAGCTCCAAGTAGGATCAAAAGCGACTTCTTCAAATCTGCAAAAAGATACGCTGTTCAATAGAAATGCTAAAAGAACAAGAAAACATAATCATAAGTGGTGGTTTTTGTTTTCTTGATAATGGAGAAGCACAATGGGTACTAGAAGATCTAGACTGTAGAGTGACTAGAATATCCTAGGTGCAAACCAACCTATAATTTTTAAATTAGTCGAATCCTAACTCACTTCAAGACCCTAGTTTGCATGTTAACAATATATATGAGCTATATATTTTTATCCTTTTAATTACTCATGTATGCAAAACATAGACTTTGTTACAACATAATTGGAAAGAACCTTGATTCGGGTAAAGAGCGCCAACTCCACTTTTTTCTTTTCAAAGCCACTGTTGCTGGTATCATAAGACATTGCTCCCGTCTTTGTCAAGTGAAAACCACTGTCAAATTAACAATATCTATGTAAGTATTTGTTTGGGTATTATGGAGTTTTCAACTTTGAACCCTACAACCACCATCAGTATCTACTAGGATCACAACAGCTATATATTAAAAATAAGTGATATTCAAGAACGTCTCACAAATGATAGGAGTGAATCCGGTATAACAAATCTACCTCTTCGCCTTCGATCTGGATAGGGAACCCTTTGTAAAGAATAGAATATAGTTCCTTCTTTGTTTCCCAATGCAACTTATCTTTAGACCACTTAATTATGTTTTCATAATCACTTGGTAATTTTTCTTTCCAATATGCATCTAAATGAGACATGTCCTCCTGCATATATACCTCCCTCTTATCCTCTAATACTTGATGTTCCAGAATTTGTTGGCTTACTATCTCCACGGGTTGAAACTCAATGCCTTCTACTAACAACTCATTCCAACATTTAAACGTAATTTCAAGATCAACATTTCTATTGTCGCTAGTAAACTGATACAATTCAGCTGTCAACCATCCATCTCCTCTCGTATCTGCTAAGTACAAGCTCAAAGATTCTGTTTCCCCAGCCAGAATGTAATTGAGACGTGAATTGGTAGAATCAGAGTCGTATAAACAGAACACAAGGTTTATTGCATATGTGACCTGTGGCGACAAATACTGTGTTCTGATACGTATTTTGAAATCAGAACAAACCTTTGTATTCATGTACTTTTCAAATCTGCACAAAGATGCAAACATATATATATATATATATATATATATATATATATATATATATATATATATATATATATATATATATATATATAGTTGAATTATTGTGCGAACACTACAAGGATCGAGCCTATGCAGACGACAATTTTGGACTCTGTCCAGACGACTTGTCGTCTCTAAAGCTTATACAGACGACATGTGGTCTGTAAAAAGTCGTCGGTATAGGTCCGTCGCTAAAAGTCGAAAATGTCGTCGGCAGTTCCGAACCAATCCATTAGAAGTTCCGAACCAATCCATTAACACTAAAAAACTACACGTCAGCAGTCATATGGACTACGAACGCAAATATGCATCAATGATATATATGAATCAGCAGTCATATGGACTGTGGACGTAGATATGTATGAATGCATTAACAGTCATATGGACTGCGGATGCATATATGCATGCACGTATCAACGGTGCATATATATAAATATTTTTTTTTTTAAAAAATCGTCAAATCTTTTTTATTGAACGTACACATGTACTATTTGTGGTTTTGGTGTTGAAAAGTAACGTCGAGGTTAAGAGTTCTTAAGTTCTCAAGGTTAAGAGTTCTTAAGTTCTCACAATTTTTTTCCTTTTCAAAAGAACTTCTCTCTCTCTCTCTCTCTCTCTCTCTCTATATATATATATATATATATATATATATATATATATATATATATATATATATATATATATATATATATATATATATGGACCCAATAATAAAAAGATGAGGACTAACTTACCTTGTTTTTTCCTTGGCATAAAATCCAGTAACTCGAGGTTTAAGGATAATAGGATAGAAACACTCTTGTGCGGATATCATTTCACAATGTTCTCCATTCTTATTTAAACAAAACCACTGTCCATTAAAATTAAAACAGTTGAAGTTAGGTCGATTAAGTTAGATTTAGGAGAGTAGAGATTTACTTGGTTTTTCAAGTTATAATTATGCAATAAACATTCCAATAAATCATAATTTACCACTCATAAAATAAATAAAAACGTCTAAAGTAGCAGTATATATAATTACCGTTTTGCCCTGGTTAAGGAAAATTCCTTCGACAAGAAGGATCTTTAGTTCCTCGTCGGATCTGTGTGCTAGAGAAGGGACTGCGGTCTTACAAATCTCTTTTGTTTTTTTAAACCGTGCTGACTTACGCACCTCTTCATAGTTCATTTCTGGTTCAACCTCTTCAAAATTCTCTTGAAACCGAAGCGCAATATTAAGTTCTTCCACAACCCGATACATCTCTGGCCGTTTTTCACGAGATTTCTTCAAACATTGATAGGCAATAGATGAATATCTTTCCAATGACCTCGGATCCATCTGTTGTTTCATGTCTTTAAAGATAATCTTTTCAAAGTCTTTTAGTTTGTAGCTCTTTTTCCAGGTTCTAACTAAACCCTTACGAGTACCATTATTGCTATATTCAAAGCATAGTGTCCCACACAATACTTCTAGCAAGACCACCCCAAAAGAGTATACATCCGACTCTTTTGTTAAGATGCTCGTCTCCATATAGATCGGATCTACGTATGCCAAGGTACCCGCAACATTGGAGACAAGAAAGGTCTGCTTTTGATTAGCGGGTCCTATTTTTGCAAGTCCCATGTCAGAAACTTTGGCATTCCAACTCTCATCGAGTAGAATGTTTGAGCTTTTTATATCACGGTGGATAACTCTTTCGCGTGTCTCTTTGGGATCATGAAGGTAGCACAGTCCGGTTGCAGCGTCAACGCATATCATGAGACGTTGTCTCCATGTGAGAGCAACGCTTCTTACATGGCGATCAAGACTTCCATGACATGCATACTCGTACACAAGGATCCTCTCACCATTCTGGTTACAAAATCCCAAGAGAGAGATGAGATTTTCATGTGTGTAACGAGAAAGCATTAGGATCTCTTTCAAGAACTCAGGGTCTCCTTGGCCACAAGTACTATCCAAACGCTTGAAAGCAACCATGCTTTGCCCTTTGGAGTGAGTGACTACTCCTTCGTATACTTTCCCGAATCCACCTTCTCCGATAAGTTTGCTTTTATCAAAGGTGTTGGTAGCCGACTTTATCTCTTCAAGTCCGATTTCAAGATACTGAAAATCCTTAAGGAAGGCATCCATTATGTGTTAGGATGAAACGGATTCTAAGATGTTCAAACTTTTGGAAAGGAGTGTTATTAAAATAACCATGGATAAGGAGTGGTGTTAGACAGTCATTAGCCAGGGCATGTGAAAGTTTTAGTTTTTTTTTTTTTTTTTTTTTTTTAATTACATTTGGGATATGATTTCTTATTATTTTATTATTTATTTGTTTGGACCAATAATTGAGATGAAGCATGTTGAACAATTAATATGTTAGTTCAGGAGTTTCACTTTTTTTTATTGATTATTTTATTTGTGGATTCAGCTCCGTCGAATTATTACATCAACATATAGCTTCTATTATTTAGATTTTAGAAACGGGGTGATACTAGTCATATAGAAAATGTCACAAAACTCGTAAACTAACTATAGAATTACAGATTTAACAACTCCCTTGAAAAAGAGTTTAATTAGAGAAAAAATTTAGAAATTTAACTAGTAGACCCTTGGGTTGTGGGCAGGTTATGGCTCTATATTGCCGACTTGTCTGCATCTTAACACCGTGAACATGGGGAACACCGCCCCCTCGTCGTTATGATGCTCCGTGGTGGTGATAACCAGATGCAACGGGCGTTTCTTCTCCAATTCGTATAACCCTTCATTTGTTTTTCTTTTTTGATTTGCCTCACAATGGTGTTGTGAGCTTGGAACTCCACCCTGAAAAAAATGTGTTGGAACACCTCACAACGGGGTTTATGCCTATGTGTTTTTTTTTCTTTTCTTGCCGATACCAAGCAACCTTAATCTATATGTTTGCAAAAAAATATACATAACTATTAGAAATGATATGCCTTTGGTCCTTATTGTTTTTTAAACATTGCACAGTTGGCCCCCTAGTTGTTAAATCCAACTTTTGACCTATTAAGTTTTTTAAAACGACCCGTTTAAGTTTGCATCAATTACCTAAAAGATGATATATCATAGAAGACTTTCTATAATTTACTCATATATAATACTACTACACTAGATTATAAACCTGTATATTATATGGTTGGTAGACTAAAATATATACTAGAAATAACTGATAAGAAACATGTCGACCAATTAATATGTTAGTTCAGGAGTTTGACTTTTTTTTTTAGAGAACTTAAATATCTACCTACTTTTTGTTCTATAAATCCTTTTACCCATTTAAATGGTGATATTTTAATGCTCATTTAAATAGAAGAACATTCCAAAAATATAAATCCTTTTACCCATTTAAATGGTGATATTTTAATGCTCATTTAAATAGAAGAACATTCCAAAAATAAAAAAATGAAAGAAGAGTTCTATTATAGTTACTTTTGTGCAACACTTACTTTACTTTATAACACTGATAACTAAAATTTTAACAATTGATGATGACTTATTAGTTATAACTAAAAGAACTTAAAGTTTTACTTAAGACATTTATCGTAATTAAAATTTAACATATACTTTATCTATATATATATATATATATATATATATATATATTATATATATATATATATAATATATCTATATATATATATATATGGTGAGGTTCAATAGAGAATCATAATTAACTAAGGAACCAATGTTTTTTTGAACTTTTAGAACTTATTTTTTTATCAAAAAAAAAACTAAAAATGCAGAAACTCATAATTTTTTATCCTTTTTCCAATAATATCAAATTCGATAAAAAAATAAATTTTTTTCATCAAATTCACAATGTGAATCTAAATTCACAACGTGAATCTAAATTAACACGGTGAATCCGAAAAATATATTTAACATTCACAATGTTAAGTTATGAATTTAAATATTTTTAGTTTTTTTTTCGATAAATAATAAGCTCTAGAACTTGAAAAAAAATATTTGATTCCTTGGAGAACCAATAATTATCGTTCTCTATTCAACTTTTCCCTATATATATATATATATATATATATATATAATATATATATATATATATATATATATATATATATATATATATAAAACATATTCAACATTTCTTGAAAATTAAGAGGTACCATTATTTTAACATAATATACAATAAGATAAAGCTTATAATATACATGGTATACGATACCTAAATATACCTAAATGTATCTTACATTATTACACTGTATTTACCCTAAGTCTACGCGGTATGGGCAACGCCATAAGGCGTTATGCTGATTTGGCAGCTCCCATAACGGCGCCATAACACCGGAACACCGCCCCCCTCTCATGTTATTTGGTGTTATGTTAAGAAATGTTACCATTGTCACGGGAAGTAACGTGAGAATCAACCAATCAAAAGCCATTATCTCATTCTCTCTCTAACTCTCTTTGTATCTCTTAACATGTTATAACATTTGCACACAATTTCCTATATAAATCAAATGGTATTAAAAATGACATGGCATATGAGTTGGCAAATTTTGGGTATGATAACATGTATTAACATGTTGCCCACACCCACCAGCCTAATCTCCTCTACACACAATAGCCGCCATCAAACCAAAACTCATTAACCTCTCTTTATCTCTTCATAGGCACGAAGTCAGGTGAAGAGTGTTCTTCCCTGGATGACAAATTCTCTGATTGTCGATGTTCTAGTTCATCTACGCCGTGGAACCCTAATTTGCCGTCAACTTCACACACCATTCAACGCCTCCACCATCGACTCCGACAACATCACACACCAGCAGCACACCACCACCTGTCTCCACTGGTCCCTTCACGCTTTAAAAAACACATTCTCTATCGCCTTCGTCGCATGTCCAGCCACCACCGACGGATGGATCTCGTGGGCCATAAACCCGACCGGCGAAGGACTGGCTGGAGCATAGGCATTAGTCGCTTTTAAAGCATCCAATGGTTTGATGGTAGTGAAGACATATAATATAAGCTCGTATAGTTCGATCATGGAAGGGAAATTGGCGTTTAATGTGAAGGATACGAGAGCCGATTACTTCAATGGGGTGATGAGGATTTTTGCTATAGTTGAGTTGCATGAAAAAGGGATGACGAGTGTGAATCAGGTATGGCAGGTAGGGTCGTCGGTCTCGGTTGATGGGTTTCTGGTGAAACATGCTTTTCAGCCGGCGAATTTGGGCGCGAAAGGGCAGTTAGATTTGTTAAGTGGACAAAGTATCAGCGGACCTAGCGGTGGAATCGGAGGTGGTGATTCCAGAACGAAAAAGAGAAATGTAAGTAATCAAATTCTGATTTCATGAAAATTATCTTTTTTCATGGAAACCCACGTAGAATTTTATGATTCAACATCAAAACCAATCGAAAATCGAAATGTAATTTGTTCATGTTTCAGATTCATGGGATACTAAATGCAGTGAGCTGGGGAATCTTGTTTCCTGTAGGGGTAATCATCGTTAGATACCTTCGAACTTTCCCCTCTGCAGATGTGACATGGTTTTACCTTCATGCATTCTGCAAGTTTCTTCTTATGCAATCGACGTCGCCGGTTGGGCCATGGGACTTAAACTTGGATCCGAGTCAAAGGGTGTCACCTACAACACTCACCGCAATATCGGGATTGCTTTATTTTCTCTTGCAACAGTCCAGGTAATCTGAACCACTTCTTATTCTTACATCTGTCAATTTTTGCAGCCAAGATATCTCTCTATAGCCTCTTTCTAACTATGTGCGTGCATGTCCGTGTTTTTCAGATGATCTTCGTCCCCTACGTGTTTTATCTTTTTCCCCACGTAGAAATTGATCTTCACCGACTGAACTTGAAATTGGCCATAAAAAAATCTCATTTGTATTCCGATGGAGGTATGGAGTACCTTCTTTCATGTAGTAGTTAGAGATTTCTTTTAAATATCTTAAAAACTGAATCGTATTAACCATCTCAACCCTTAAAATTTTCTTTTGTGAATGTGGGAGTAATGAAAAGATGTCATTAAATTAGTGGAAAGGGTAGTCATCACCAAGTTTAAGCAAAACATTTACAAGATACATGTATATTTGGACTAAATGGATGAAGGTACATCATATTTACTACTCATTATTGGCAACTCTTTTGGTCTGTGTTCTTTTCCTAAACTAAAGAAAGCATACATATGTTGATGTGTTCAACAAATGTTCAACAAATGTTTCTGACAAAATAAACTAATTGGTTTACTTTGTATTGGTGTTAATATTTATTTAAAACAAATATATATATTATCTATGAGCTTTGAAATAATGGTACAATAACTTTTAGAATAGATGCATAGGAATGTCTTTACGATGATTAGATCATAATTTCTTAGTATTTATTCAAATTTTGGCATAACTAACGCAGGTAGTTAGTGTTGATTGAAAAAATGGTTGCAAGCCCTTTAATTTCTCAAGAGTCATTTTCATGTGATATAGGGACCAAGATTTCATATATTGATGTAAATAACATAAATGCATGTCTCTATCTTATTAAAAAAATAATATTGAAATTATTCTTTTATAGGCATCTTATTTTTTATTTAGAACTGATATATTCACATTTTCTTGATTTTTATGATATTTTTCTTTGCAATTTGATATTTGTAGCTTTGCATTTGACGCCATGTTTGCTAATATAAAGCTTAGTTTTTAGGTTTGCAGTACATGGTGAAACGTGACATGAGCACAAATAGAAGAAGAACATACACCATATTAAAAAAAGTGGTCATCAACATTAAAGCCATTGACTTTGAAATGGTTAGTCAACAGTTAGACTTTGTTCCCTTTGGTGGCCAGACTACGCCAACCTATTGATATCCTCATCATTTTTTCCAAGCTCTGCTTTGTCATGAACAATATCTTCAGGATCGGATGGAAGAAGTGGAAAAGCATCGCCATTACCTATTGGTGATTTCAAAGTGAATGCTTTTTATGTGTATGACATGAAGGTACATTCCCACTTTTAAGGTAATGTGTTTCACTACAACCCACCTCCTACCAATTTCTTCAAGACATTTTACTCTGTTTTTTGTTCTTTCCAGAAATATTGTCGATGATGCTCTTTTTTGGATCAAATGGTTGCAAATAGTTTTATCCTCTTGGATGATTCCAATTTAAACAGTGGTATGAAATTTACCTTTTTTGTGCTATACATGTTCTTTACACGTAGTTGATTCTTTGTTTTATTTATCTTCAAGCTCTCTTTTGTTAACAGGGAAAACAAGCTTCAATGACACCCAATAATCTTATGAATTTTAATATGAGTTTTCTCATTCATGTTACATGTTTTTTATAAATCTTATTTTAATACACGAGTTATTGGTGAGGCAAAAGAAAGAGGCATATGTATTCGTGTGTTTATTTATGTTTTTAAGTTTGTGCACCTATGTGCATTTCTGTGCGTGTCTTTATGTGTATTTTTTCATATTAGCTTAAATTAGTGTTAAGTTGCATGTGTTGCAGATATAAAAGAGGCATGTATTGCTGAAAGAGACAATAGCTTCATTCAAGCAATCAACCATGTAAATAACAATAAAAAAAACTTTATTTGTAATTTATTTTAAGTTATTTCTATTTAATATTGTTTTGTATTTGTTTTGCAGGTTTCTAATGATCTATAACATCTTTTATGCTTTAAGTTCCGAAAGTTTTGTTAGACTTAGTAGGCCATTAACTCTTATTGCATGTATAAACTTATTCTGATTGTGTTGTATTGTCTATAAAAAAATTATACATTGTTTTTATAATATACAAGTATTGGCTATATTACAATAAATATTCCTCCAAATTTCGATCTTTCGTCCTTTTCTACTTATTGCATGTAATTTTCGTCCTTTACAATTACGGTAACTCGAGACAGTAGCTATTTAGTTAATACCAAATGTTTGGAAATGATGAAATTTTTATGATAACTATTTAATAATTTAAAGCTTAAAATATCTACTATTTTAGATTATGACTGCAATAATAAATTATCTATAAAGAAAATCTAATAAGAAAATAAACTATAAATAAAGTAGTTTGACTTTTAGTTTTTGATAATTTGGTTATTAATATATTTAATACCAACTTTTTCTTGATAATTGTGTTTTAAATATCTTGGTTTTTATTTTTATTTTTCTAATCAAACAAAATTATAAAAGATTTAAAACAATAAAAAACAAAATATCATTGTGTTATGTTAAAATAAGTATAAAAGACATGTCCAAAAAAACTGAAACAACCCCCTCCCTTCCCCACCCCGAAACTCAATCGAAAAAACAACATGTAAAGACAAAAAGACCGGACTAATTATTGAAAAAAAATTATTTGCACTCGTCGCTTAACGCGGGTAACGGCTACTATATATATATATATATAGATATATATATATATATATATATATATATATATATATATATATATATATACACCGTTACCCGCCCCAAGCGACGGATGCGAATAGTTTCTTTCGGAAATTATTTTTATTCGAAACATGTAATTGATTCTATTTTGTTATTATCATTAAAAAAGATAGTGATACTTTTTTAACTATTAATATAAGTCATGGACCGTTTTTAATAAACTATACATCTTAATTAATGTATATTGATTGAAAATAAGTGTTTTTTTTTAAATAATGATCTCGTCTTTTTGACATCTTAACTTTTTTACTTTTATTTTCATATCATTTTAATTGTTGATTATTTCAATAAAAATTAATCCACACTTTTCACATAAACCCTTTTTACACAATTTCATACCATTATGATTGTTAAAAGGAAAAAAAACACATTTTTTGTTTAAAACACTATCAAACCACCACTAAATTTAAACATATTGATAAAACCACACATTCAAAAGTGTTTTAACCACAAATTCAAAACAAATATAAAGAATAAATCACTTTCAACCATAATTATTATTAAAATTTAAGAGTACAACCATTACTTTTAAACAAATACAACAATTTACAATACATCAATGTACGTGTTGAACAATAGCTTCAAATCTGTCCATAATATTGAGACATTTATCATAGAACTACAATACTTTATATTTTCATCCTCCAATTTATGTGAATTGTAAAAAGAACAAACCATACAATTAAAAAATTATATCATATTAACTAACCTAGACACATAACATGGCCATCTTGTGATTATAAAAGAATATATAAAAAAATTGAACCAAAATTTGAACTTATAAACATAGAAACTGAAGTTGGGGCATTTCTTTTTCAAATTTGTAGTGTTTCTTTCTTGTCTTTTCATTGTCTTCAACTCCTAGTGGAATAGTGGCGAACTGAAAAAGTTAAATGATTGAGTACATAACATTTAATGTGAATTTAAGAAGCTAAGAAGCTCTGACATCCACAATAAGATACCAATATGAATAAAACGAAATTCACTGAAGTTACCGTCATCACCAAAATAACACCTCGTTCACAAAGGCCCAAAATACATTGCTATTTCTTAAACATTTTAGCCACCTCTTCATATTTTTATAACTTTTACATCTCATCTGTCATAATACCAATGGTGGGATTGTATTGTCTTTCTTTTGATCTTATTCACTTTACTAATAAAATCTTATATATAATATAGAGGGAGCCTGCTACTAATTATAGTTTTTGTTTGTCATATATAACATCATACTTTAATTTGACCTTAATAATTTTTAGAAAACATTTATACAACATATGCATAGTAATTATATTTTTTTGTTTTTCACCAACAAAATGCTTAAAAGGGAAAAATTACAATTAAGAAAGTTAATAATAAAAATGAAAGTATGATGTTATATTTATATTCGACAAAACAATCAAAATACATTGATAATTCTAATTTTTCATTTCTCTTTTTTTTAATTTTAATATAATTTTCCTTATTAAACCATTATATTTCAAAAGTAAAATGTTATAATGGGAAAGATATTCAAAGTACAATGCCTATAAACGAAATGAAAGCAATGAACACAATCAAAACCAACGCCAATCAACAAACAAATCACAAGCAAGCAGCCAAGCAAGCACCAACGCAAAATGTCCAACCGCCAAAAAATGACAATAAAGAGCCCAACACCGTCTTCCAAAAAAGCACCAAGGGAGCATTTCTGTAAATTTATTTAACCATGGACATCATCAGTAACATTTTTTCCCTGTAACAAAACTGAAAAAAGAAGTAACAAAAGTAGGATACTATTAGATGCAAAAATAACCACAAAAGTGGTCAAAATCACCAAATTGACCTAAAAGGTAAAATGGCCGTTTACTAAAAAAAAAAATAACTTTATGTTTTTGTTCATTCAATAAAGTACATTGCCATTTATTCAACATATGTGATATAAGTAGTACAAATTAAGAGTAACAAAATATAGTAACAATGACAAAATGTCCAAAAACACCAAAATGATCATTGGAACCACAAAAATGCATCGAACTTTTGTTATTAGTGCTTCATATTAGTATATGTTTTTTTTATTCCTTTTTAATCGGTTGAAATGACCAAAAAGAACAAAAATTAGCAAACTGACTAAAGAAAGTCAAAATTGTTATTTTATTCAAAAAAATATAAATTAATGATATAAGACTTTGATATAAGTTCTTTTTGTTCATTTTTAATTCATCTAATTGACAAAAAAGTGGTCAAATTTACCAAAAATTCTAAAACAATCATTTTTTTTTGTATTTTTACTTAACCAATGACCATTTTATGTAAATTCATATAACCATGGAAAAAATATTCGCAAATGTAACTGTAAACTGTAGTATATGTGACAAAAAACCAAAAAAAAATCATAAGCTTCTTATTTTTAAGAGAAATACCCTTATGCTCCCAAACAACCACTTCAATCAATTGAAAGGCGCATAACATTCTAACTTTACAAACCATCTTAAGGAAATTGGTTAAAAATATATTGATGGCAAAATCGAGTGAAAATAGGGCAGAATTGAGCGACAAACCTTATAGAAACATCATCAGTCAGAGACATTTTCACCCATTCACCGTCAAGAGTGGCATTACATTGAGCTTTTCCATACATAGTTAAATATCTATCAAAATTTACTGGAAAAAAATAAGTTAATAACAATTTACCTACAGGTTGGAGACTACAACCACAACCCGCCTAAGCCTCTTCATGATGTCCCTCTCGTAACAAGAAGTTATACCTGTGAAACATGAATTTGGTTTATTAGAAAGTGCAATCAAGTATCTGATCAAAAAAATTGGAGAGGTAGTACATTCTGCTCAATTTCACAACATATAAACAAAACTCAAAAGGGTCACAAGGGTGTAATAGTCATTTTCACAATCTGCAATTACGTTTTTATAGTTAATATACTCATAGATTTAGAAGAAAAATGGGACAAAATTATCGATACAATTATGAAATTAGCTTACATGGATTATTTTGACAAAATCATCAAAAGGGCATGATTGTCATTTTTGAAATCTGCATTCGGATATAAAATATTGAAATCAAAACCACAAACTCAGATATTGGAATATGTTTAAAGAGTTGAATCAAGATGAAACTTTGAATTATGAGATAAGTTATAACGAAAATGAAATTCAAATCAGTTTATACTATGAAAAAATCAAAGACATATGCATTTACTTTCTTACCTTCGTTTCCAGCAAGCGTCGTTGATGTAGATAGGGAGAAAGAGAGACATGGGGAGTATTTCGTTCCATGAAGTCGCACAGGGTCGAATTTAATTAGGACATAAGGAAGATACATGGGAAGGAGGTGGTTACAATTCCGACAGGGGCTTATAGGGTTTGGAAAGAAGGCGACGATGTCAAGGGTTTATGGTGACAAGGAGGGAGAGGGTGATGGATAGTAGTGACGGTTGGTTAAAGGCAAAAGAAAATCAGCAGCTAATGGTGATTACAAAGAGATAAACCATGGAAGATGGTGGAGTTGATGAAGGAAAAGGGCGATGGAGACTTGAATGAGCCATGCTCCAACATATGGATACATATGAGAGAGGAGGCGTCAAGAGTGAGCAGTCGTGTGGTGGTTGAACATGTCAAAGAAGCTGTGAATAGTGATAGATGTGAAGGAAAGTGGT